ATGCTCCTGTCAACACACTTGGCATTCTCCGGACTTCTCTGGTTGCTCGTGGTATTTCTCTGGCATTATCAGTTCTTCTTATGGGTGCAGGGTCTTATATGGCTTCATATTTCATCACCGGGTCTTCATTTGGATTATATGTATTCACGTTGCTCATGAATTCACTGGCTTACTGAGGTATTTCATCTTGTTGCCTCCGGGTCTTCCTCTTGCTTCTACGGTCTTACTCTGGGTGATAGGGTTACTTTATCGGCTTCTCTGGGTGATTGTGGTATTACTTTGGCATTATACGGGACCGTAAAAAGCCCCGCAACCCCCTACAAGCAACACCCCCCTTCAACACCACAACGTCCCCCAAGCCCAAAAAAAGGGGGAACCCAACGAGTCACTACCCAAACCCACCAGACACAGAGAAACAAAAAAAAAACACAAACAGAGAAACGCAACGAGAAGTACATAGCGGTCCTACCCAGAAGCCGGACCAAAACACGGCAAACGGCCCCCCCCCACCACTTCCCTCCGACCCGACCACCCCCCCCCCCACCCCCCTACCCAACAAAAGCGCCCACCCCCCCCCCCCCCGAACCACAGAACACACCCCCCCACCTGCCCCCCCGCCCCACGTACAAACAAAAAAAACTCTAAAAAAATAAAACAACAAAGAAAAAGAGGAACACCTGAACACACCACGCAAACAAAACCATCACCCGGCCAAACAACTAAAGCACGCCACAGTAAGAAAAAACAAAAACGCGACAAGAACACCAAAAAAAAAAGAAAAACACCACAACAAGACAAACGCAAAACACACACCATCGAACACAAAAAAACACAGAGTAAAAACCAACAGACACACACCCCCAGTCTCACCATCACACACCACATCCATCCTTACGAACCATAACAAGAAAGGGGGAGTAGAACTCGGGAAAAAACAAAACAAATACCAAAAATAAAGACAAAACAAGGTCCAAGAGAAAAGGAAGGGTAAAAAAAAAAACCGAATTAAAACCAACGAGAAAGAAGAAGCAACGGTAAAAAAGTAAAAAAGAAAACAGGACAACAGTCCACCACAGCTAAAAAAACAAAAGGAGGAACCATCCCACCGGGGAACGCAGACAAAAAGTACCAGCCGCCACAACCACCACGAACAACACAAGTCCAACGAAACTCACCCTCCCCACACACAACAAAAGAACTAAAACAAAAAACGGCAACAACCAACACAACCCCAAAAACACCACAAAGCAGCCAAGAACACAAAACGAACAAAAATCAAAAAAAAAACAAGGAAAGAAAACAGCACAGCACAAAGACGCAACAAGACGAAACCAGTCCCCCAAGTCACAAGTGGACCACAAAACATAAACCTCAGAAAAAAAAGAAAACAGATCAAAAACAACCAAAAAAACAAAACAACTACCCGAGACAACACCACGACAGGTTTAAAAACAACCGCAGAGAAAAGAAAGTAACCAAGAAAAAAAGATAAAGAGCAAAAGAAAAAAAAGAATAAGACGAACAAAAAGCAAGGGTAAAGAACAAAAACCAAAAAAAGAACACAAACCAAATCGTAAGACCACAGAAGGGACAAAGAACAAAAACAAAGCGGAAAAAAAAACAGTACAACAAAAAAATAGATAAACAAAAAAGCCAAAGGAAGGAAAAAACACAGCCAAGTAAAAACGAAGCAAAAACCCACACCGTAGACCCAAAGCACCCAAAAGGCAAAGCAATCAAAACGTGAGGACCCAAGAAAAAAGGCCGAAAAAAAAAAGAGCGACGGGAGACAAAAGACAAAAAAAACAAGGCACAAATAAAATACCTAACCACACAAGCACCCACCATCAGGGACCATAACGACGAAAAGACTAGACAAGGGAAGGGAAGTACCACAGACCACTACTGAAAGACGAAACACGACCGGAAACCAAGAACACTCAACGAAAGCAGTTAAAAAAAAACCCACCAACAACACAGATACAAACCCCCCACAACTCACACAACCACGAAATAATAGTACACAGGCAGGTAAAATACAAAAAAAAAACAAAAGAACCACAGAACTAAACCCATAGAGGGGGCAGACCCGACATGCAAAAAGTACAAAACACGAACGAAACGGCCAACACACCAACAACAAGACGAGGTAGACGACCAAAAGACAAGCACCCGGAAGCACCAACCACCAGAGGGACACAAAAAGCAAAAACCGAGATAAAAACACAGAAACCAACACAAAAAGTTAAAAAAAGAACTTCCGGGTTGTAACAGAGGTACAAAGAAAGAAAAAGGCACAAAATAACACGCGGTGGTAAACGGAAAAAGCCCGCCACCGGAAGGCACGAGCAACCCGTACAAAAGAGACACCACAGTTCAACACGACCAATCAGAAAGAAGACGGAAGAACAGAGACCGGGAAAAGGGCAAAAAGAAGACAAAAACCAAACACCTCAGATGAGAGCCACACCATCTCCAACACAAACGTGTAAAACGAACAGAAACAACGGATAAACATATGTATCGTAGAAAAAGAAGAAAAAAAACAAACATGGAAGAAGCAGACAAGACACAAAGAAAGCAAAACCAACGACCCAGCAAAGCAAAACATCAGACCACGAAGAAAAGGTCAAAACCACACAAGCAAGGTTATAAACGGGGACAACAAACCAAACGCACCAACCCCCACACCGGAACACACGCAAAAAAACAAGGTAACCCAAAAAGGAGAAAAAAAGAAGGTAAAAAAACACAGAGCCATACGGAACAATACCCCGCCACCCCACCAACAAGGAAAAACAGCCAGCACCAACCCACTACCAACAAGCCCAACACGGCCAGGGTAAATTCAAATCGCCGCCGGCGACAAAACACACCACAGCCAACGAAGAGGACCACAAACCAAAACAATAGTAAAAACCAACAACCCCAGAAACCAACACACTTCGGCAGGTACCCGTCACCCACCCAACGACAAACCGTCGACAGGAAAAAAAAAGAGACGAGAAAAACCAGCACCCAAAACCTACCACACCCAAACACACGCAACAACAAGAAAGACCCCACCACAAACCAACGTAGTAAACCAAACAGGCAAACAAATGTCAAGAAAGATGAAAATCCATCGAACAAAAAACAGCAGCCCAACAAAAGCACACAAACGTCGGGCAAAAGACACTAAAATCGTACAAAAACGAAGAAAGACAACCGCAAAGAAAAACAACCAGGTCCAAAACAACAACAACCAACAAAACCCACCAATCCGACAACCGCAACAGTAGAAACCACCCCATACGACAACCAAACCAAAACACACCGGGGGAAAGAAACGGAGACAAAAAAACAAGCAAAAACGAAAACACACAGAAGTAAAAACGAACACACAACAAACAAGCCAAAACCACCAGACGCAAACAAAAAACAGGCAAAGAAATAAAGCCAAAGAACCTAGGAACAAAAAGAACAGACCAAGACCAGAACGCAGGTACCAAGAAACCCAACCAGAAAGGAACAACAACCCACAACAAACGTCCAAACCCAAAACCCCACCCACCACCACCAGCACCGCAAAAACACACCAACCAAACACCCGCCACGGAAAACAAAGGTCCACAAGGTCCAGTCCAAAACTCCACACGACAAAATACAACCCCACAACAAACGTACCAAGCAGCAAGGAACGAAACCAACAACAAAAACAAACCCAGAAACGCAACAAACAAAAGACACGCAGAAAAAGACAAACCGGCACCAAGGCCACAAAAAACAAAACCAACAAAAACCCCCAACAAGCGAAAAAGAAATAATACAAAAAAAAAACCCCCACAAGTCGCCCACACGACCCCTTATAAAACCCAGGCACACAGAAACATACAGCAGTACCCCAAAGAAGCGGCAAAAAATAAAAGCGCAAAAAGAACGGAAGTAGACTCCAACACCAACGAAAACAAACAGACATGTACGACACAGAACCATATCGACATTAGGTAAAAAGGGTAATAACAATCAGAAACGGAAGACACAGCAGGAAACACGAAACCACAAAAGAGACCAACCCACATCACAGACACAAAACAACGCAAAAACAAAAAAAAGAGTAATAAAAAAGCAGAGAGAGAAAGTAAAAAAGTAAAAAAGTAACCGAAAAAACAAAGAACCGACGGTCAGGGTCCAACCCAAACAGAAGAACCAAGAAGAACAGAACCAAACAGAAACAAGAAAAAAAAGTAGCAACAAGTACAAAAAAAAGAAAAGGTAAAGAGGAACATACAGTAAAAACAGGGGTACAACAAGCACACAGAAAACAGCGCGCGAAGCCTAAGCCAAGTCAAGGTCAAAAACACCCACCAAGCAGTAACGAAAAAAGAGACTGAAAAACAAGGCAAAAGTAAAAAATCAACAACGACAAAGAAAAAAGAGAAAAAAACAACCGTTAAAGCAGGTAAGACAAACAGCAGGACACAGTGCCCGAATAAGGGTAACAAAAACGGCCACTAGGGGTAAAAGCAAATGGGTCGTCTTCACCAAAAGAACCAAAACCAAACAAAGTAAGAGAAACGACAGAAAAACAACCAACCAAAAGGGGAAGCGAAAAAAAGTGGGGTAAAGAAGAAACCGAAACAACAACGTCACGGGAAACGTACAAACAAAACCCCCCGCCCACGTACAATACAAAAACCCAGCCCAGTCACCACAGACACCAGAAGACAGGAAAGAAGGAAAACATAGAAACACACAACAGGGACCACAGCAAACACACCAGGAAAAGCCCAAGAAAAACGGTCAAAAGGACAAACGGAGGAAAGATAAAGTCGATAAACACACCGAACGTCCCCAACGACACGAACAAGACCACACCACACACAACCACCAACGACGGAACCACAAAAAGGAGACAAACAAACAAACCCAGGTAGGACCGCAACACAGCTCCGCAAACGAACAAAGACGAAAAAAAGTCTCCTCACACCCACACGACATCGGCACCAGAGGTAAAAGAACTAAACACAGCTCCCACCAGCCAACCCCAACTCCACAAACAACGGCCAAACAACCAAGACAACCAAAAAGAGCGAAACCAGCTCCGACCAAAACAGTAGCACAAAGGGAAAGCAGTCGCCTCCGGCACGACAAAGACACAACACACAGTAAAACAAAAAACAACCACACCACCACCAACAGGTCACACAACTCCGGAAACACCACCAAATCCACCAGGAACAAACAAACTTAAAACCCAGCACCGGCAGCCTATCCATCAACCACAGAACAAATACACAAAAAACGTTTAAACCACCAGTACCAGGAACAACACAAAGAACGCACCACCCCAGAACGGAAACCAGTCCACACGCCCGAGAGAAACCCAGACCACCCCACACCAAACGTACAGAAAACTAAAGCAACCAAACACCACGCAAAGGGTAAAACCAAACGGACACCCCAAGGGCGACTCCAACCAACCAAAAACACTAACCGGAGGCTACCCTAACAAAAAACAAAAAACCAAAGACTAAGAACAAGAGCAAAACCAGCAGTAAAAAAAAAACGCGAACCGGAACCGAGTAACCACACACTACATCAACCCATGGGTCACCGAAGGAGAAAAAAAAACAAAACGCCGGCACACCACACCAAAAAACACACCCAGCACCAACCACAAAACAACCCGGAAAACAAACAAACAAGGGTAACCAGAACCGTCACAGAAAAAAAACCAATCCAGAGGGAAAAACAAGTATCACGGGTAAAAAAGAAAAATAAGAAACCAAAAAACCCACAAACCCCCAAAAGAAAAGACGCCACAAGAGTAGCGCACACATCACAACGCACACACCACGGCCAAGCACCCAACTCACAACAAGCACCCCCCCACAGGCACAACCACAACAAACAAAAACAAAGAAAGTAGAAAACAAAATCAGGGGGTAATAAACTGAACAACAGACGCAAAACAGACGCAGAATACCCACCAACTAAACAACAAAATCCAAGCAACGCCGGACTACAACAACCAAAAACACAGACAACGAAACAAATAAACCCCGTCAACGCGAACAAAAGACCAAGACCAAAAAAGGTGAAAGGAAAACGAACGCGGAGGGGAGGAAAGAGCACTACTAACAAACAAAGCGGAATAAAGACACCAGAGAAAAACAAAAAAAAAAGAACAGAAAGTAACCCATCACGAATCGCAAAGCACGGAAGAAAACGCAACGCAACAGGTACCATAAGCAGAAACAACAACCAAAAGTAAATCAAAAAAGTCGAAAAAAAATAAAACAGTACGCAGCACAAACACCCGTGCCAAAAGTAAACGAGAAAAGTACGGACAGAACAACGCAAACCAAGAATAAGAACAAAAAAGGGCCCGAGGAACTAAACCAAGCACAAGGCCAAAAAGAAACCGAACGACAATCGAAAAAACAGTTAAAAAAAGTAACAGAACAACAAAAGGAAAAGGGTAAAGAGCAAAAGGAGCACGCCCAATAACAAACGGAAGAAAGTAGCACAACCACCGCCCGACAGAACTCACCGCCAACAACGGAGCCAGACAAAATATACGGACGAAAAATAACACACCACGAGACCCGCAACACAAAAAAAACAACCGTCCAGAAAACCCACGCACATACACAAAAAGCCAAACAACAGCAACCAGAAGGAAAAAAACGCAGCGAGCCAAACAGAGACAAGAAAAGAAAAACACCAACAGTAGAAAGTAGCATAAACGCGCGAGTACAAAAGAACTAAAAAAAAAAAGACATAAAGTCAAAAAAGGGGGGTAACGAGACACCTCCACAGGAACGAGAGGCATAAAACTCCGAGACACACAACGGTACACAATACAACAAACCACGACATAACCGCGTAACAAAACCCAGAAAAAAAAAAAGAAAAAAAAATAACGACACGAACAAAAAACCAAACAAAAAAAGAGGTAAAGAAACAAAACCACACAGCGGAGACAACCAAGCCACAAGAACATAAAGAACGTGAAAGCAAAACAACCCAAACACAAACAGGAAAGTCCCGACCACCCCCAACAAAAGGAAAGTAGAGCCGGCGACACACGCCCGTAAACTACCCCCCAACAGCAACAGAGCACAACAGACTCACCAACCACCCACGCCGGGCCTCCGTACCACACCCACCCGCACCCGTCCGCCCAAGAAAACAAAGACACGCCCCGACCATCGAACCGGTCCCCGTAAACACCATCCCCCCCCCATACGTGACCAGAAACAAAACACCGCAACAGTCCGCCGCCCCCCATCCCCCTCACGGAACCCTTCTCGCCCATCACCCGCCGCCCCCCACGCCCCCAACGCAAAAAAACAGTCAAAACGTCGGGCCCCCCGAAACCCGACCCCCACACAAAACCCCCACCCCCCCAACCCACCTCCCCGGCGCACCCCGGCGGGCCAGGTGAAATCACCCACCCCCGACCTCCAGCAGGCACTCGCCCGACGCACACAACACCACCCACCCCGACCCACCCCGTCCCCACAACAAGACCAACACCAGCACAATCAACAAAGTCAAGACAGGGCGCACAAGAGAGTTAAACAAAACCCCCAAAACAACACAACCAACACCCCCCCACAAAGCCCACCAAACAGCGCACATCCCACCCCACACAAGCCCAAACCACGACGTCACCCCCACACAACCACAAACCGACACTACAACACCACCTCAAACCGGCCCCGGACCGTCAAGTCACCCAACAAAAGACCCCACCGACCCCCCCCAAAACCCCACCCATCCCAACGACCCGACAAACGGGCTATGACGACCCCCCCTCTTCGCAGGGCCACCCCGCCCACCCGCACCACCCACCCAAAACACCCCCAGTCCGGCACCCACGCAACACGCCCCCCCATGAAAGACTATACACCAACAGAGGAAGCCTAGCCAGCCCCCCCCCAGAGCCTAACAAACACCCCCCCCCCCCCCACCCGTTACGTCCCCCCCAACAACGCCAACACCACACGTAGTCCCGCCGTCCCCTTCCCTACCCCCTCCCCCCCGGCCAAAACCGTCAACCCCGCCCCCATACCAAAGCACAAACCAGAACCCCAACCCACCCAAAACACAACCCCTACCCCCCACGCCAGCCACACCCACCACCAACACACCAACGGCCACACAACGTAAAAACGAACCCCGTCCACACCGCAAAACAAAATACAACGAACAGGAAAAAAAAAACGAGAAAACAATACCAAAACACCAAAAAGCAAAGATAAAGAGACCAAATTCAGACAAAACAGACCGCAAGGCGGAAAAACGGAAGCAAACAGCAAAAAAAAGAAGGAACCAAACAAGCTCGGAAGAAAACAAACAAAATAACAACCGGTAAGAGCAAAACACAAACAAAACAAAAGGGTGCAAAAACCAAAGTAGCATACGGAAAGGTACGAAATAAAAAAAGGAAACGAAAAAAAAAGAAAAAAAGAGATCCCAGACCAAACCGACAAAAAAACAGGAAACAAGGTACACCGTAAGGAGAACGCAAGTCCCCCCCAGTACACGCAACACAACAACGGGCACAACACGCACCCACAAAAAACCGGCCAACGAAAGCAAGGGCGGACACCTAGGGGTACAGGAGGAATAAGGAAAAAGGCTAAAAAGGTAGCACACAGAAAAAAACACAACATCGTCGTAGGCACCACGGCCAAGAAAAAACCACCCAAAACCAAAACAGACCGGGCACAAGGACCCAAGTCTACAAAGAGAGAGCGCACACCGCCGAACGCCCACCCACCACCAAGTGCGGCACGACGGTAGAGAAGAAAAAGCAACAACGAAACACCCCCCCTCCCGGCAACCCCACCGTCAACCCACCCACACCTACCGGGCCCACATCTGACACACCAAGACACTCACCCCACCCCCCCCGGTGGCACGCACAACTAAAAACCCCGTACCCAACCACATACCCCCAACAACGGGCAAGGACGCACACAAAAAGACAGTGAAGGTCGCCCGAGCCAGTACAAACCAACCGCAGAAAAGTCACACACCCAACCCCCGCCACCACAGGACCGGAAACGACACACCGATACCAAAACCCAGTCACCCCAGAAAAAAAGTAAACACGACCCAACCAAAAGAACACAAAAACCGACCCAAAACACAACAATCGAACAAACAACAAAAAAAACAGGCCACAAATAACCAAAAATAAACCAGAAAATCAAAGGTAAAAATAGACAAACCAGAACACACACCAAAAACCCAAGGGGTAAACCACACAAAGGAAAAAGCACAAGGCAAGCCTAAAAAGCAACAAAGGGTACCACACAAAATCCATAAAAAAACGAAACAACAAAAGAACAAAAGGTACAAAACCAAACAACAGCAGAAAAACCGGTCGATAAAGACAAACAAACACTACGTAATGACACAGGAAAGCAACAGACAAATACAGGAAACCACGTAAACGGTCACCAAAAAGTACAGAAGGCGAAACACCAGCAGAACGCAAACCACAAAACCACATAGCAAAACACGCACCAGACACAAACAAATCACCGCAACCCCGCAACCAAGTATCAAGAATAAAAACCGGGAATCACAAAAAAACACACAACAAATAAACACAGATAAACACAAGGAACCCCGTCGAACGCCAAAAACAGTCGAACGGCAAAAAAAAAAAACACAAACACAGGAAAAAAAAGGTCACAAAGGACACAACAAAAAGGATTAAAAAAAAAGAAACAAAAAAAGGGGGTAGAAAAAAAAAAGGTACAAAAACCCAGGTCAACACAACGAGGAACACCAACTACAACGGGTCGAAAGCAGAAAAAACAACAAAGAGAAGAAACACAAGTACAAATAAAAACGAGAAAAAAAAAACAAAGGGGTAAAAAAAACCCTCAATACACAAGGTAAAATATAACAGGCAAAAAAGATCAACACAACTACAAGCCGCCAGTAAGAAGTTAACACCAAACAGAAACCAAACAGCGCACGTAAAAAGTAGAAAACCAACGTCACAAAGAAACCAACCGGGTCACATACGTCACGAAACCAACAAAGCATAAAACACAGTAGTACCCACGAACAACCGTTAAACACACACGGAAACAAAGAACCAGTAAGGACAGTGTTAACGGAAAGGGGGAGCACAGGGGGGTAAACGGACACAACCACACACAACAACCAACCCACTCGGCCCCGCATGTAAACCAACCCCAGCACAACAACCAAAAAAAACAACTACCAAGGATACAGAAAAAAAGAAGCACACAAACAAAACACCGAGAACCGGTACTCAATACAAAACAAACACGAAAAATCAAAAAACAAAAACCCAGAAAAACTAAAAAAAAATAAACCAGAAATCGGGGCAATAAAAGGAACAAAACAGGAACAGGTACCCAGCGGAAGAAACACAGAACAGTCACCGAAGAACCCACTAACAAGAGACAAGCGAAACCGCACACACCCCACAAACAAAGCCAAGTAGTACAGCACAAAAAGCCAAACGTCACAACACAACCGAGTAACACACGGATCAAAGAGAATAATACAACAACAACAAAAAAAACCAAGACACGTACACAGAAAAACAAACAAAAATCCACGAAAGTACCAGACAACAAACGGGAAAGGGAACATCAAAAGAAAACAGATACAGTACACAGGAAAAAAAACATAGGGTATAAAGTAAAAAGCCCACAAGGAAGTAGAGGAAAAATGACAATATTGCAAGCAAAAAAAAAACAGAAAAAAAACAACACGCGTAAGAAAAAACAACAACAAGAAACCAAAAATAAAAAAAACAAAAAGGAAACGTAACAAAAAAAACACAAACACGACGAGGAAAAAAAAGGGTAAAAAAACACCAAGTAGTAGAAACATCAGACAAAACGTCCAAAAAACAGAAAAAACCAGAACCAAGACAACAAACTAAAGGCGGAACCAACCGGACCCCCATGCCCAAAATAGAAGAAACACACAAACAGTATAACCAAGGTACCCAAAAAACAATCGTGAACACGAGCAAAATAAACAGAACAAATCAACACAAACCCCAGAGAAAAAAACACACCCAAACAAAAACAAACAAAGAAACAAAAAACAACAACACCATAGAACCCCAAAAGGGAGGTAAAAACAACCCAAAACAGGACCAACAAAAAAACCAGGTAGCCAGCACCACTACCAACCCACGAAGAAAAAAACCCCTCCACAGCCATACAAGCAAACCAGAAAACGCCACCAAAAAAAACGGGCCCCACGACAGACAAAACCAGGCGCCACAAAACGACGTACACAGCGAAATTAAACCAACCAGAAGTTGTAAACAACACAAAAACCCGGCCGAGCTAACAAAACAGTACCAGAAACGACCAAAGGGAAGGTACAGAAAAAATACAACAAGACCAAAAAACAGGAAAAGTAAAAAAAACACAAAAAACAAGGGTAAACAGAAACACTCAAGAAACCCGCAACCGGCAACCAAAAGGAAGACCAACGGGAAGCACCGCAACGGCCCCAACGACAACCCACTCGTAAACCACAACCTCCAACGCCATAACCCCACCTGCGGCCAACCCGGAGGCAACCACAAAGGCCAAGCGCGCCCCCCCCAAAAACCCGTACAAGCAACCAGAGACCCAACCCAAAGAAAGGAGAAGTCAAAACCAAAAAAAGAAACGAACAGCAGAAACCCCAATACCAAAAAACTAGAACAACGGACAAAAACAAAAGCACACGTTAAAACAAAAAAAAAAAAAGCAAAAGCGACACAAACACCATCCATCCACGTCAGCACAAGAAATCAAAACAAAACTCACAAGAAAAAGAAGGAACAAACACCCCCCCAGCAAGATCGAAGTGAAACAAGTAACAGGTAAACAACGACAAACCCACAACCGGGAAACCGACAAAAAAAAACCCTTAAAATACACCAAGCGCCAGAAACAAAAGGAGCAAAAACAAAGGTAACAACAAAAAGTAAAAGAACCAGACAACTGTCGACAATAAAAAGACCAGAAAGAGGGACCCACCAGAAACACAGACCAAACATAAACACTCGATCCGACAACGAAAAAAAGACAAAAAACCAGACCGTAAAGTAACAGACACAACGGCAGTAACCGAAAAAAAAAAACAAAAAATACGAGCAAAACACAAAACAGGCTCCACGGACACAACATCAGACACCAAACCCAAAAAAGGACAAGGAACTAAACAAGGAGTAAACACTACATCAAAAATAACGACAAACACCAAAACAACCGCAACGAAAAAAGAAACCAAACCCAAAACCAAAACTAAAAAAAGCAATCCGTCGACTAACAACAAAAACAGACAAACGGAGGAAAAAAGAAACAAAATAAACAACAAAACAAGCCAAGAAGAGAAAAACAAGAAGGAAAAAGTTAAAGAAAAAGGCAAACGTAGGAAAAAAGACAAAACAGAAAACCCATACAAAACCAGCAAGACAAAAACAAGAAACACACGCTAAAATGAACAAATGGGACCACGCACAAAATTAACCCTAGTAGGGGAAAACACAGGAGAAGAAACAAAAGGCAAAATACATACGAGCTTAAAAATAAAAAAAAAGAAACACCAAAAAAAATAACGTAACAACAAGCTGACAACAAAAGAAAGAAAAAAGGTATAAAAGACCGTAAAACCCAAAATAAAACAAAATAACCGAAAGAAACAATATGGAACCGCAAGAGCAACGGACGTAAAACAAAAAAACAACAGAAACAAGGGTAATCCAAACAAACAAAAATAAACAACAAGAAACACAAAAGGCAAGCAGCACAAATAAGCACAAAAACAGAAATAGAGAACAACAACACGGAAAAAACACCAAAAGGGGCGGTAACACGTTAAAAAAACAGGGACA